AGTTTGTATCCACTGGCTCACCAGAAAACAAGTGTGTCACTATCTCTCCTCCCTATATGGACAGTCTGGCTGTTTGACATCACCATAACTGGCTGAATATATATGCCACCAATGAACAGCCATTTCCTTACACCCAGTCACACATAATTAGTGGAAATGTGACAGACACAGCAATACAGTGGGAGAAAACCACACCCCCAGGCCAGAATCCCCAGATCAACAGCAAACTCTCTGCTTTCAGCTGCAGTACTGCTTCTGATTAAACGCTTAAAGTTCCTTGTATTGTTATTCAGGTGAGAAACCTCAAAGGCAGCCCAGGAACTGGGAAGTGGGTCTCCTGGAGATGTGTGGGAATGTATGACTGACTGGTGTTTTCAAATGTTTCTTCCAGAGTGCTCTGCCACATTAACAACTTTTTTTCCTTTTTTGGGGGCGGGGGTGGTATCCCAGAAGTCTCTGTTTGATACCTAACTTGACTTCTGGGATGAATGCACACAGCCTAGCCCTTCAGTCAGCCCATCATGTGGTTGCGGGTGCTGTCTAGAGGCAGTTTTGCTGTGTTGTGCACATTGTCTTCATCACAGTTAGAGCCATTTTTTACCGCAGCCTGCGTGAATGAAAGGAATGAACACCTGGAGTCTCACTTGTTGCTATTGTCTAAAACAGCCTCAGTATTCACATTTTCCGTGAATCCATTGTAGATGTTTTGCCACACATCTTTAAAACATTAATGCCATTTCTATTTTAAAGTGTCTACAGTCGGCCTTTGAGTATTCAGAGTTCCTTTCAGTTTGGAGTTGTGATCAGTCATTGGCTGTTTCACAAGCAGCATACTGCCGAGCAGCCTGTGTTCACAAACACTGATGGGTCCACTCTCTCAGGACTTCATCAGAATGCTTCACTTTTAGCCTTACGCCTTGTTTTTCTTTGTGACTTTTAGTTCACTTTTAAAGGGAGAGAGACCACGCCCCAATGGGCTGGTATCTCAGCAGCTATTGGCTGGAGGAGTGGAAGGACCTCCTGCATGCCCCCCCCCCCACACACACACACCGGTTGTCCTTGATCTCAGTCTCGGGAATGATCCTAGAACTAGCCAGTCCCAGGGCCGTGGCCTCTCAACCTGAGTGCCACTTGCTAACACTCCTCTACTTCCACCCTGTTTTCTCTGGACCCTTGGTTTGCTGTCATGATTGGCAGATACAGGCTGAGGAGATGGCTTGGTTGCTCAGGTGGCTGCCGCACAAGCACGAGGACCTGAGTTCAGGTCTGTGATTCCAGGCCTGGGAGTGTGGAGACTGTCAGACTAGCCTTTAGCCTTATCAGTGAATTCCAGGTTCAGAACTGTCGCAACAAGCAAGCAAAGGAAGCTGTGACCAGGGAAAGAAATAGGACATTTGTGTCGGTCTCTTCACACAAGCTTACAGATACACATTCCCACGCTGACAAGCATGTTCACCACACATAAACACATGGGGGTGGGGGGAGTCCAACCCTCTAACTCATTAATATGCACTCTTGACGGGACACGAGAATGACACCACTCCCAAGATAGTTAAGTGTCTGCTCAGACGTTCCCTTACGCCTTGCACGAGAATGCCACTCCCAGGACTCTGGGGCCAGAAAGCAAGCAGCAATCAGGGATCTTGGGGACTCCCTGCCATTCGGTTGCCATGGAGACAGCCACAAAGGCATAGAAAGTGGGAGGGCCAGATGTAGACACGGTGAGAGGCTGGAACACAGTGCTCAACCACTTCTGTCAGTAGAAGACAGACTTGCATTTTACTGCTATAGTTGAGGGACAGAGATCAAAGAACATCTGACTGAGTAATTACTCGGTGAGTCCAGGCTCCTCCAGGACACCGGTACTTAGCCTGTGGGGCGAGACCTTTGGGAGTCAACCACTTTCGCAGGTGGTCCTGCAGCCTGAGTGGGCCAGCAGCGTCTCCCCAGGGTTTCTGCTGCACGTCCTCGGTCAGCACCAACACTGTGTGGAGCAGCTGACAGGTCTTCCTCCAGATTCCCGTCTGGACTTCCCTCACTGGTGGGTCAGGACCTTTTCTTCCTCTAAGTCGTTCTTTTTTTTTATTATTTATTTATCATTTATTTATTATTATACAGTGTTCTGCCTGTATGTTTGCACGCCACAAGATGGTATTGGATCTCTTTGTAGACGGTTGTGAACCACCATGTGGTTGCTGTGAATTGAACTAATAACCTCTCAGGATGGTGGCTGACTGTATCTCACTCTGACATATAAGGGGGGACGAGTCTCCAAAGGTTCCCTGCTAGTCAGGTTTAAGGCCTGTCAGAAGTGTGGTCTTTTCTGGGTAGGGCAGTTCCAGCTTGGACAGCCAGAATAAAGCTAGGCAGGAGAAGGTGGAGTCAGGCAGACATGACGTAGCTGCTTATGCCTCCCCTCCCCCCAGCACCTTTCCAGTAAACCACAGCCTCATTGCAATACACAGATAGCTTAATTTGCCAGGCAGTGGTGGTGCACGCCTTTGGGAGGTATAAGCAGGCGGAGTTCAATGCCAGCCTGGTCTACAAGAGCTAATTCTAGAACAGGCACCAAAACTACACTGAGAAACCCCTGCCCAGTTTGTTTGTTGTTCTATTTTGAGACAAGGTCTCACTGTAGCTCTGGCTAGCCTGGAACTGAGTAAGTAGGCAAGACTGGCCTTGAACTAACAAGAGATTCAGCTGCCCCTGGTCTGCTGAGATTAAAGGTGAGCATCACCATGCCTGGCCTCATTGGACCATGTTCTGACACCAGGGAGGACATGTCCCAAATAACTTGGCAAAGAGGCAGAGCAGAAAGGCCACAGGAGTGCCAAGTTCGGTTGCTCTCCTTGCTGCTGTGACCAAGCACCTGGCACCTTGGGGAAATCAGGGTAGGCTCACGTGGCTTCACAGTTGGTGGGCGAGGGCAGCATGGCGGCTTGAGCCTGTAGTGACTGGTGACTTGCATTCAGTCAGAAAGCATGGAGTGGAGTCTGCTGCTCAACGCAAGCGCTTTATATTTAGAGTGGGACCCAAGTCCATGGGCTGGAGAGCCCACGTTGGGGTGGGGAGCCCCCAGGTGCTGCACTATCCACAGTGAGTGTATATGTCCACTCCACCTGGAGAACCCGTTTCTGCAAAGCTGCGGGAACATCTGTCCTTGGGATAAGTCAGTTCTGTAAAAATCTTATGAAATCATGGCATTTCTCCCTTCTGTAGTATCCCAGAAGTGTATCAGTGGATAAACCTGATTTTTCCTGTAGGGCAACCGGATCCCTCCCCCCACACCATGAAGCCATGGCGTGAAAAGGATCCAGTCCTTGTTCTCACAGCCAAAATCTACATAAAAATAATCCGCTATGAGCTTTCTTTATTGACAGCACTCACTGAAGAGAGGAGACTCAGAAGCTGTAATCTCCTGGTCTGCTCTGACTTAACATTCTGTATTACCCATTACTTTGGTTTCAACTAACAGAACCATAGCCCAGGAGATTAACTATACAGGAAAAAGGCCTGAGTCGAAAAGGAAAATTCTCACCTGGGCACCCTGCTGGAGTTAAGCAGGGCCCCCAGAAGATATTCCTTTAAAGTCAACCAGCTAGGTGCTGATGCAAATCAAGCCCACAGGCCAGTAGCTACCAGGGGAGCTTCACAACCACACCCCTGCTGAGACATAAGGTGCCTGCTTGCCAGATCCACCAGTCTCATGACCATGAAAATGCATGCTTGATACTATTTTTTTTTTTTTTTGGTTTTTCGAGGGTTTCTTTTTTTAAATGTTTTCTTTCTTTTTTTTAAAAATATTTATTATGTATACAATATTCTGTCTGTGTGTATGCCTGCAGGCCAGAAGAGGGCACCAGACCCCATTACAGATGGTTGTGAGCCACCATGTGGTTGCCGGCAATTGAACTCAGGACCTTTGGTAGAGCAGGCAATGCTCTTAACCTCTGAGCCATCTCTCCAGCCCCTTCGAGACAGGGTTTCTCTGTAGCTTTGGTGCCCGTCCCAGAACTAGCTCTTATAGAACAGGCTGGCCTCGAACTCCCAAAGATCCGCCTGTCTCTGCCTCCGGAGTGCTGAGATTAAAGGCGTGTGCCACCACCGCCCGGCTGCTTGATACTATTGTTACCACCTATGGGACTATTAATGTGTCTGTCTGCCTATGTAAACTGAAAGCTTTGTGGATCACTCCTTACTCTTACTTTTTTTATACCTTATACCCCTACGCTGCTTCTTTTCCCTTCCCCTTATCCCTTACATCTTGCCCTTACGCCCTTATTCTCATCTTCCCCCAAGGAATAAAGAAACTTTCAGGAAAAACATGCCTAAGTCAGTTTGTTTTACCCCTCGGGTCCATTTTCCAAGCCCAGTCTTCGCTTGTCATAGAAGTTCTATTCTGAACCCTGAGAGAGGTCAGGACCTAGTAGCTCTGATAGGATAGGTCCTCCCCATCCTCTCGACTGAAAAGATCCCTCGTGGGTATGGTTGCACACACCTTTACTCTCAACTCTCTGGGTTTGAGGTCAGCCTGGTCGATGTAGGGGGCTCCAAGATAGCCAGGACTACATAGACACTGACTCAAAAAATAAACAGTTAAAGAAAATGGGGGGGCTGGAGAGATGGCTCAGAGGTTAAGGCATTGCCTGCTCTACCAAAGGTCTTGAGTTAAATTCCCAGCAACCACATGGTGGCTCACAACCATCTGTAATGAGATCTGGTGCCCTCTTCTGGCCTACAGGCATACACAGACAGAATATTGTATACATAATAAATATTGAAGAAAAAAAAAAAGAAGAAAATGGGGTATGCCAGGCGGTTGTGTGTGCGCCTTTAATTTCAGCACTCAGGAGGCAGGCAGATTTCTGTGAGTTCTAGACCAGCCTGGTGTACGTGTCTTACACAGCTTTAAAAAAAAAAAAAAAGCTTTAAGTGTGATGTACGTACATAATGGAATTCTATATAGTTGTAAAAAGGCCCAATTCTCTCCCAAGCAGGACCTGAACTTAAAGTTTTATATACATATATGATGTGTATACCAAGCAGGCAGGAAGAGATCTTAAGAAAGACTGAGAAACCATGAATGCAGGAAGGTGGTCACCTGGGCAAAGGTGCCCTTGTCACCTGCCAGGGAGGAACAGGGGACAAGGGCAGGGGAAGGCTGTGAAGGGGGATGAATTAAAGCAAAGCATAATGGCAGATTATAGAACATAATGACATATGTATGAAGATGAAGCCGGTTATGGTAATGCACGCCTTTAATCCCAGCACTGGGGAGGCAGAAGCAAGCGGATCTCTGGGCTTCAGGATGCTCTGCAGAGTGAATTCCAGGACAGCTAGAGAGCTGTTACACAGCGACACCCTGTTTGAAAACCAATGGCAGTATGGTGTGAAATGCCTGCAGTCAGTGGCTGCTTTGATTCAGGTTTCTATTGCTGAGACCAATTCCAGCTGGCCTCCAGGGTAGCATATTTCATCCATTTGTGCAGGCACAAGCACAAGGCATTGTTCTTTCAAACGGGAGTGGTTTCTAGCATTGATTGCACAATTTCCACTGACCATCTGGTTCCATTATACACGATTTAAGTTTAAGCTTAACTTTTACCATCCTTTCCCCTCCTCCTGGCACACCTGCAGGACACCTGCGGGACACCTGGAGGGCACCTGCGGGACAACTGCACACTGAGTCCATACAGGCAAACGGTGCTCTCCACATACCGCAGTTTGCTCTCAATTAGGAACTTAGAATACACTGGCGAGGAGGACCTTGAACTAGAGTGCGCTTACCCCGCAGGTGTGGAATGATTACTTCATTGGCAGAGCTTCCAGAACGGCATCGGCGATCTCTGAGAGACTTTGGTCCACGCTGACCTGGATGAAGTGTTCAGGAGCTGATGGAGGCTCCAGAATACTGAACTGGGACTGCAGTAACTCGGGCGGCATAAAATGTCCTTTTCGTTGGGACAGGCGTCTGGAAATGATCTCAAACGAGCCGCTGAGATAGACCACCAAGAGCTGTTGGCCGGCCAGCCTTTCCTCTGCGGACCCGTCGCTTTTCAGGGGCCCATCACTTCTTCCCTGTATCAAGATGTCTCTGTACTTTCTCTTCAGGGCTGAACAGGCTAGAACGACATGCTGTCCCAAGGCCACCTCTCTGTTTTCAAAATATAAGGAACAAGATGGCACCCCACACCCAGAGAGAAAAAAAGAGATGAGGGCTGCAGAAATTGACTTTGTGTCAATTCTAAGTGGCGGAGTAGCCTCTGCCAATGCAAAGTGTTACTTGGAAATGGAGCCCGGAGTGCGCTCAGCCTTAGGTGGAGGTTTCACCAGTGATCTGAATGATCTTGGGTTCCAGGCATCCTCAGTTCCTTGTTAAATGGCCCCTTCTGAGCTGTTCGGAGGGCAGAGCTGACTGAGGACCTGGTTTACCCACGTCTTTGGTTCTACCTTGATGGGTGCAGCCAGTTGTAATTTCAGAAGTGATGTTTTAACTCACTGGATTATACCGGGGCCAGATGATTTCTTACCTTACTAATATGTCGTGCAAGCTGCAGAGCCATGGAATCCTGTCCTGGAATTAGAACAAGAATTAGAAGCTTTCCCAGGTAAGAAACAATAGAACCATAGTTGCAAATGTTAGTTCCAGAGAGATCTTAGTGGTTGTGGGAACTGGGCATGGCCAGGCTGAGGGCCATGCCCAAGGCCCTATACCCACAGAAACCATTCCTTGGCTCTGGTGTCAATGGCTCTTTCATAGTAGTGTAAGTCCCCTTAAGGTACATCCTTTAAACCTCCCACAGCCTCCCCGCTGTGTGACTGTCTCCCCTGGCTGTGATGGTCACACACCTCTTACCATAGCTAATATATCCTCCCGGTACACCTGATCAGAACCTGCAGCTAGGTGCGGCTGCAGCTTTCTTCCCCAGCCCTTGCTTGAGTTGACCACCCCAACAGGGTTTCTCTGTAGCCTGGCTCTGTAGAGCAGGCTGGCCTTGAACTCAGAGATCCTGCCTCTGCCTCTGAAGTGCTGGGGTTAAAGGTGTGTGCCACCACTGCCCCACTGAGTTAACTTCTTAATGTACCACTTGAACTTGGTCTTTCAAATTGTCTCTTGTAGTGCCTTGGTTAGCCAGGGTTTCCTACCACATTCAAGCACTGATGGGAATGGACAAGATGATGGTATTATTAAGCTTTTTTAAAATATTTTTTTTGTTTATTTAACTTTATTTTATGTGCATTGGTATGAAGGTATCAGATCCCCTGCAACTGGATCTTCAGACAGTTGTAAGCTGCCATGTGGGTGCTGGGAATTGAACCCGGGTCCTCTGGAAGAGAAGTCAGTGCTCTTAACCACTGAGCCATCTCTCCAGCCCCTTATTGGGCTTTTTAATTTTAACTTTTGGATATATTTCTTTAAGTATGATTTTGTTTTATGTGAGTATTTTGCCTGTGTGTATATAAGCGTGCTCAGGGCATGCAGTGCCCACAGGAGCTAGAAGAGGGCAGGGGAATCCCCTGGAACTGGAGTTACCTACAGGCAGCTGTGAGCTGCCATGTGGGTGCTGAAACGGAGCCCACTTGGGGATTAGAGATTAAAATCCTGCAACAAACTGTGGCTGGCTGTGCACGAGATAGGGCAGAAGGTAGCTCATTCCTGGGGCTGAGTCCATGGGAAAGTCCAGGCTCCGGGCTAATAAAGAAGGAGGCATGATACAGAGATCCTGGACGCCCATAGCCAACATTACCTGGTCGCTCAGCGGTACCCCTCTCCCCATCTTCATCCGATTCTCTTCAGAGTGGTAATCATCGGCATCATAGAATTTCCATCCCAGCTTTAGGAAGGAAGGAAAAAGTATATATAGCATCAGCAAGGCCCATGGGACAGTCACCAGGAGCGTACTGACAGGGAGGTATAGAAATCACTGGTCTGGGGGCTGGAGAGATGGCTTAGAGGTTACAAGCACTGGCTGCTCTTCCAGAGGTCCTGAGTTCAATTCCCAGCAACCACATGGTGGCTTGCAACCATCTGTAGTGAGATTGGATGCCCTCTTCTGGTGTGCAGGTGTACATGCAGATAGAGCACCCATATACATAAAATTAAATAAATCTCGAAGGAAGGAGGGAAGAAGAACCACTGGTCTGAGGCTGCCCCTCTCACTTACCATTATCAAGAAGAAACCTGGATTGCCATGCAAAGGCATCAAACCATAGGTCATAAGAAAGGGAGGAAGCAGTGGACAAGAGCACAATGGATGAGAGACGTTACCTTGGAGGCCAGCAGTGTGCCCACGGTAGATCTGTGGAAAGAACAGAGATGTCTCCATTTCTGCCCTGTAGTAGGAGGCTGCTTGTTTGTTCCTGGCTGCTCAGCCCCGAAATAACCACGTAGAAACTATTATTTGCAATACTGTTTGGCCAATAGCTTAAGCGTATTTCTGGCTAACTCTTAAATTTTAAATGGACCCATCTCCATTAATCTATGTGTGTCCACGTGGCTATGGCTAACCAGCAAGATTCTGTCCAGAGTCTGTCTCTGGCGGAGCTACGTGGTTTCTCCTGACTCTGCCTTCTTTCTTCTAGTTTTCAGTATAGTTCTCCCTGCCTAGTCCTACTCTGCCTATCAACAGGCCAAGGCAGTTTTTTAATTTATTTATTTAAAAAAAAAATACTATTTTGTTTTGTGTTGGCCAACTACTCGGGGTCTGTCCTGAAGTGTATTTGATACACCGAGTGAGCGGGGAGTCTAATAAAATTTAATCTCCTGCAGAACTGTGTAACGTTTGGGGGCCTATAAATGCATCAAAGTGGGCTGGAGAGATGGCTCAGTGGTTAAGAGAATTGCCTGCTCTTCCAAAGGTCCTGAGTTCAATTCCCGGCAACCACATGGTGGCTCACAACCATCTGTAATGAGGTCTGGTGCCCTCTTCTGGCCTGCAGACACACACAGACAGAATATTGTATGCATAATAAATAAATAAAGATTTAAAAAATAAAAATAAATGCATCAAAGCATTGCTAGTTTACTAGATACACAGAAGGGGCTGGAGAGGTGGCTCAGCAGTTAGAGCACTGGCCGCTCTTCCAGCGGCCCTGGGTTCGGTTCCCACCTCCACATGGCAGTTCATAACCATCTTCAACTCCAGTTGCAGGGGATCTGGTGCCCTCTTCTGGCTCCCTTGTACACTGCACCCAAGTGGTACTCATACAGGCAGGCAAAAATAATAATAAAACAACAATCCATACACATAAAGGACAGACCTAAAAGACAAGGTCAGTAACTCAAGAATGGTCAAGGCCAATGGTTAAGATAGGGTGTCCCACATAGCATGTGAGGGAGAGATGGGGCCCCAGTCCTCTTTCTGTCATTAAATGATTATCCCCATAGCTAACTGGGTTTCTCAAGTCCTCAGTTTGTGCAGGGGAACGGAACCACACAAGGTGTCTATTCGCCTCTAGTTTCTTCGGCCAATTAAAAGAAATTTATTTTATGCATAGGAGTATTTTGTTTTCATGTAAGTTAGTGTGTTGTGGTGATACTGTGTTTTCATTTAAGTTAGTGCACTGTGGTGATATTGTGTTTTCATGTAAGTTAGTATGCTGTGGTGATATTGTGTTTCCATTTAAGTTAGTGCACCATGGTGATATTGTTTGTGCTTTAACAAATAAAGCCTGCCTGAGGATCAGAGTGTGGAGCTAGCCACACTAGTTAGCCACAGAGGGCAGGCAATAGTGGCACACTCCTTTAATCCCAGCACTCCAGAGACAGGCAGAAGGATCTCTATGAGTTCAAGGTTGGGCTACAATGAGATTGAAGTAGTCTAAAAGAGAAACAGAACCAAGTGGTGGTGGCTCACACCTTTAATCTCAGCACTAAGGAGGTGGAGACAGGAAGGGATATGGCTGGGCAGAGAGAGGAATAGAAGGCAGGAGCTCAGGATCCAGTCTGAGGACTTGTAGAGACAGGACATCCCATTTGGTCTGAAGATTTAGAAGAGGTAAGAACTAATGGCTGGCTGTTCTGCTTCTCTGATCTTTCAGCCTTCACCCCCTAATATCTGACCCCAGGTTTTTACCATTAAGACCATTTAGATTCATGCTACAGTGTACCACATGTGTGCAGTGCCCATGGAGGTCAGAAGAGAGTCTGGAACTTGGTTACAGACCCTCATGAGCCACCATGTGAGTGCTAGGGTTTGAACCCAGGTCTTCTACAAGAGCAGCCAGTCCTCTTAAGCAAGCACCGAGCTACCTTTCCAGTCACAATTCAATTTTTATTGAATGTGTCACCTAGTAGTTCCCAAAAGACAAAGATGAGACCACTATGATGTGCTGGGATTAAAGGTAAGTGCCACCACACCTGGCCAAACCAGAGTTCTGCACAGAAAAAAAGTTACTTACAATCAACCTAGATTAACTATGAATAAACATTAGCCACCAACTCTAGTCTAAAAGAAGAGCTAAGTTATGAAAGGAAAAATCCATAGTGTCTGCTCCATCCAGATCTAAACTAGAGGACCCGGATGCCCGTTCACGCACAAGGGACTATGGACGACGGCAGGAACAAGGTGCAGCATGGGGCTCATAAGCAATGACTGGATTTAAGCTTACAACCCAACTTCAGTGTCCAGATGTCTCTCTCCCAGCAGGTTGGGCTAAAAGTCACTTTAGAAGACAGTTGGGGAAAGGGAAGGACTGAAGAAATCCAGATTTAAGTTTATTCTAGCAGAAGCTGAGATGGCTTTGCTACAATGTAAAATAAAGGAAAACAGCACCACCGCTAATGTCCTCAGGCTCATCCTTCCAGTCTCCATGACAAGGACAATCAGCGCTTATTATGGGATAGGTGCTGTTCTGGGCGTGAGAGAAAGGGTCTCTAAAGGGGAAGAGGAAATGAACAGAGAGAACGGGTTTCCCAATTATACAACAGCAGGGGTTTTCAGGCTCAGTGAGTTCTGTTTTGTGGCTGCTGGGACTGGATGCAGGGCTTGACCTGTGATCTCAGCACCTAGAAAACTGAGGCAGATCGCTGCTTTTGAAAGGCCAGCCTCGGTTGCATATCAAAAATCCTAGCTCAAATTAAATACTGCTAAATAATTAATAAATTAGAACGCCTGCGGTGGGGATAAAAGTTTTGGAAGCCTAAAGCTACCTTCTGGGGCTGGAGAGATGTCTCGCTGGTTAAGAGCGCATCCTGCTCTTTCAGAGCGCTTGAGATCAGTTCCCAGGACCGACCTGGAGCCCAGCTGCAGAGGAGAAGATGCGTCTGCGGGCATCTGCACTCGTGTGTGTGCAGGTGCGGGCCCAAACACATACACGCAATAAAAATAAAATTTTCATTTTAAAGACCTACCTTACCTTACCGTTTGGAAAGTTCCTGATAGGACACTGTAACCCTTAAAAGACTCTGGTGTGGGGGCCCACAGAAGTGGGTCGCCCCACCTTGACTGAAGGTCAGAGGGCGCCCCAACGTGTGACTACGAACCTCTGGTTCACCAGTTAACATCTATTTTGTTGCCTGTAGTTGCGTGTTGCAGTTTGGTGTCTTTGGGTTATATCGGTGCAGTGCGGTGTCTATCAAACGAAATGCCTACTTCTGGCTTACTTCTAAGCTGGCTGCACCGGGCTGGGAAGAAACTGCATAGTTTGCAGAGTCCTGGGTACGTTCCATATGAACAGGAACACGATCAAGGAAGACGATACCTCGCAGGGTGATCTTCACTTTTCAATGTCTATTCAGAAAAATCCGGAAACTCACCCAGGAGGGGAACCATCTGCCCAACCAGATAGAGCTTTACAGACCCAGGACAAGGTTCACCTCTTGGTTTGGGACTTTGCACCCTTCCACTTTCTCGGCAAGATGCCTGAGGTCCAGGTTTGTAAGGCTGGAGCTAAAAGCTGTGGCGGACTGCGTCTTTCCCGTAACAACTTTCCGCTCTGTACTCCAGCAGCCTCCCTACGCCCGACCTTCATTCCTCGGCTTTCATCCGTGGTGACCCTGGGGAGCGGCTAGCGAGGCAGGAGAGCAGGGGACTTCGGCAGGGGCGGCAAAGGCAGGACTCCCAGGGCTCAGGGCGCCCAACCGCCTCCCAGTTCCCGCCCGCCTGCGGCCTCAGCGACCTACTTCCCGGAGCCGCTCACACCCATCACCAGCAGCACCGCGGGTGCCTCCATCTCCCAGTTCTTCAGTCCTCGGCACCCGCTTCCGGGACAGGTCCCGCCCGGCCCCTGACGTCACCGACCACGCCGCCGCTGGCTCCTGTGCCGACCGCTGGGTGGTGCGGCCAGAGGGCAGATGCTGGCATTTCCAGGTGCTGGTGCTCTGCAGCCAGAAGACCACCGGGGACGCGTGGACAGTGACAGAAACATTTTACTAACAAAGACAACAATGAAAGACAAGGACATAGAGCCGGGGAGATCTCTTTCTCTCTCTCCCCTCTCTGCTTCCCCTCCTTCTCTGCCTCCCCCCCTCATTCCCTCCTTCCCGCTCTCTCCTATTTCACTCTCTGGCCGCAGGTCTCTTCTGTCCCCACTTTTCTGAAAGCCAGTTCCACTGGACCCCTTCCACCCGTGCAAACAGCGAATCTGCGTCAGTGGCTGTCTTGTGCGGGAAGTGACAGAACCCCAAATCTGCAGGGGAGGGTTCTCACTAAACCCAGCTGGGCCAATGCTCGGCGCACACTGGTGCCTCGCTGACTCTCCCAGAGGGAACCAGCCAGGCAGGTTCAGTAAAGACCCCCACCCAGGAGGCTGTCCTTCCCGGCTAGGGCTGTGTTAATGTCTAATAACTGGGAGGGAACCAGCCAGGCAGGTTCAGTAAAGATCCCCATCCAGGAGGCTGTCCTTCCCGGCTAGGGCTGTGTTAATGTCTAATAACTGGGAGCTGCGGCTCTCAGTAATGTTGGCAATGAAATCAGGTGCGCGTGAGAGTTGGACGTGAGCTGCCGTCCATCCACGTGAACTTCTTCCTGAAAAAACAAGACTTTCAAACTCTCCCTTAGTCCACAAGCTTCACCCACAGCGACCGCCAGCCAGAGCCGCTCTAAGGACAACAGAAGGTGCTGGAGACACATGAATGAGTCACCAAGGATCAAAGCTTCCTCACTGAGTCCCAGAGGTAAAATCAGTCTTCCGAACAAGCTTCTTCTTAAAAGCGGTGTGGGGTGTGTGTGTGTGTGTGTGTGTGTGTGTGTGTGTGTGTGTGTGTTGTCTAAGTGTGTGCGCCCCACTTGTGTGCCTGGGTCCCTCAGAGGCCAGAAGGGGGTGCCAGATTTTTTTTTATTAATTATGCATACAGTGTTCTGCCGGCCTGTATGCCTGCATGGCAGAAGGGGGCACCAGATCTCATTACAGATGCTTGTGAGCCATCATGTGGTTGCTGGAAATGGAACTCAGGTCCTCTGGAAGAGCAGCCAGTGTCCTTCACCTCTGAGCCATCTCCCTGGCCCCCGAGGGCGCCGGATCTTAGGATACTTCTAGATTTGAAAAAAAAAATATCAAAATGTCTTACAAAGTGGCTGTACCACTTACATGCCCACCAAACAATGCATTAACCTTCTAATTTCTCCAAGGCACCACTAACATTTGTTGCTGTCGTTTTCGCCCTAACAATCTTGGTTATGTGTGTGAGTGTTTATCCTGCGTGTCTGCAGGTGCACCACATGCATGCAGTGTTTGTAGAGGTCATGAAGGGCACTGGATCCAGCGAATCTGGAGTCAGAGGGCTATGGGCTGCTACATTAATACTGGGAAGCAAACCTGGGGCTTCTGCAGGAGCAGCCAGTGCTCTTACCTGCCAAGCCATCTCTCCAGTCACACTTCCATCCTTCGTTCTTGAGACACTGCCTCGTATTGACTTCTAAGTCATGACTCTCTCCGAGTGTGTCTTCTGTCTCAACTGCTGCTCTTCCTTAGCCCCGTGTGTGTTTTTACTTCCTCCTCTTCTTCCCCTTTTTCTCTTCCTATTCCTCCTCCATTTCTTCTTTTAATATTTATTTCTTTGATGTGCCTATGGTACTCTGCCGCAGGTACACCTGCATGCCAGAAGAGGGCATCAGATCCCATTCTAGAAGCAGTGAGTCATTATGTGGGTGCTGGGAACTGAACTCAGAACCTCTGGAAGAGCTCCCATTGCGGGCTGAGAGATGGCTCAGAGGTTAAGAGCACTGGCTGCTCTTCCAGAGGTCCTGAGTTCAATTCCCAGCAACCACATGGTGGCTCATAATCATCCATAATGAAATCTGGTGCCCTCTTCTGGTCTGGTCTGCAGACATGCATATGGACAGAACAGTGTATACATAATAAATAAATAGATAAATAAATAAATCTTTAAAAAAAAAAGAGCTGCCACAGGTCAGGGAACCCTGATTGCTCTTCGAGCAGATGAGGGAGGGGGACTTGATCGGGGGAGGGGGAGGGAAATGGGAAGCGGTTGCAGGGAGGAGGCAGAAATCCTTAATAAATAAATAAATTAAAAAAAAAGAAAAAAAAAGAGCTGCCATTGCTCTTAACCACTGAGCCATCTCTGCAGTCCCCCTCCTCCATTTCTTTTTCTCAGGTTCTAAATGTTGGAATGACCCCAGGCTTTGTCTCGAGACAGCTTCTCTATTACAGGCTTTTGCTATGTGATGTTATCTTGTGTGTTTAAGTACTATGTGTAATTAGATCTTTATCCCTGATCTCCGTACATCCATTTGCTTACTGAACTCTTAGATTGTCTAATTAGAGACTTAATATTAACAAAACAAAATCCATAAGTATGCTGCTCTCCTCTCTGAGCCTTCCACACTTTAGACAACGAACCTGCTTTCCCTGTGGTTGGTGGTCTGACCGCATGAGCTAGTTTTGACCATGCTTTACCTTACACCCTCATCGAGACCATCAGCAAACTCCTTTACCCCTGCCATCCCAGTGTGTTGGAACTCATCGTTACTTCTCATGTCTTCTTCTCCAAGCTTGGTTCCCAGCATCCTCCCCTTTTCCCCACACTGCTGAAGGAAACTGCTACTGATTTTTTTGCATCTGCTCAACTGTCCAGATTCACATAGAAGCCATTCATTTTCATTTTTATAAGTTTTTTGTTTTTGATTTTTCGAGACAGAGTTTCTCTGTGTAAGAGTCCTGGCTGTCCTGGAACTCTCTTGGTAGACCAGGCTGGCCCTGAACTCACAGAGATCTGCCTGCTTCTGCCTCCCAAGTGCTGGGATATTAAGGGCATGTGCCATCACCACCCAGCATAAATATTTACTTTTAATTATGTTTGTGCATGCGTGTGTGGGGGTATGTGCGCATAAGTGCAGTGCATGTATAGACCAGAAGAGGGCGCTGAGTCCCTGAAACTGGAGTGTGGTTGTGAACTACTCCATATGGGTACAGTTCTGGGAGCCCAACGTGAGTCCTTCCTACTTAGCCTTTTCTTCAGCTGCAGATTTTTAAGTTTTTTTCTTTTTAGTTTTTCAAGGCAGGGTTTCTCTGTGTATCCCGACTGTCCAGGAACTCACTCTGTAGGCCAGGCTGGCCTCGAACTCACAGATCCACCTGCCTCTGCCTCCCAAGTGCTGGAATTAAAGTCGTGCGCCACCACTGCTACCACCAGGTCAAGGGTATTATCCTTATTTGTGTGAGTCGTGACATTAAAACGGCTATGGAACTTTACTTAAAGCCAAGAGAGGCACCCGTATAAAGCTGTTGAGCTTGGACAAGCATGCCATTTACAACCAAGTAGTTCCAGATAGGCAGAGAGTAGGGTTGGTGGGGTGGGTGATGGTCAAGGGGAGAGACGGCTACCACAGTGGGGCCTTTCAATGATGTACTAGTCACGTGATCACTTCCGCCCTAAAGCTGACCACAAAGGGCACAGCATTAGCACACACATCTGACACTGCCCAAGATGCTTTTTGACCTCAGAGTTCATCCCCAAACTTTCCTAGAGTTTCCTGTCTCTAGGAGGCAGTCTCAGCAAGGCAAGCGTAGGAAGCAAAGCCTCTCCTTTCCAACCACGTAGCCAAATGGCTCCTAGTAAGACTCACATGGTGGGATTATTTTCTGATTGTTTTAGAGACAGGATTTCTCTGTGTAGCCCTGGTGGTCCTGGAACTCCCACTATAGACAGAGGGATAATTTAGATCTCCATCACCCCATGTTTCTAGCTCTCTCAGTGTCTGTCAGGGATTTCTTACACACACAAAAAGACATTTTCCAGTAAAATGCAGTGTGTGTTCTGTTTATTTTTGTTTGTTTGGTTGGTTGGTTCAGTTTGGTTTGGTTTTTCGAGGCAGGGTTTCCCTGTGTATCCCTGGCTGTCTGGGAACTCACTCTGTAGACCAGGCTGACTTCCAACTCACAGAGATCCGCCTGCCTCTGCCTCCTGAGTGCTGGGATTAAAGGTGTGTACCACCACCACCTGGCTCAAACTCAGTGTGTCTTTAATTGTGTATTTTCCACAGGAAAACAAATGAGAGAGGATTTGCTATATACTCAGAAATCAATGCCAGGCAAGCTCATACTGCCTCAAAGGGCCTGGTTTTTCTTATTTTCTCTACCCTAAAAGCTAGAGTGTTTTTCTAACCTAAAAGTGTTGGAAAGGAAGTGACAACAGGAGGAGAGAGGCTCTTTCCCCCAGGGCTCTCTGAGCTGAGCAGGCACGGGGTCAACAGCAGCTTCTCTTTGAGGCTTTGCAACTTTAGCTCCATGGACAAAATCTCATCCAAGTATCTAACCTTATGTATGCTTTTGTTCTTTTTTTTAAATATTTATTTATTATGAATATAATATTCTGTCTGTGTGTATGTCTTCAGGCCAGAAGAGGGCACCAGACCTCACTACAGATGGTTGTGAGTCACCATGTGGTTGCCGGGAATTGAACTCAGGACCTTTGGAAGAGCAGGCAATGCTCTTAACCACTGAGCCATCTCTCCAGCCCCCTTGTTCTTTTTTTTTTTTTTTTTTTGAGACAGGGTCTCACTATGTATCCCTGGCTGTTCTGGGACTAGCTCTGTAGACCAGGCTGTCCTTGAACTCACAGAGATCCGCCGGCCTCTGCCTCCCAAGTGCTGGGATTAAAGGTGGGATTAAATATATATATATTTATATTTATATAAATATATATAAATTTAAGCCTTGAGAGTTCCATGAGTTCCACTGTTCCATTGTGGCACACTGTAGACTGTAGATAGATGGACTTTGGC